GACTCGACGGCACATAACAACAACAACAATGGTAGAGGAGCATAATCCAATTCTAGTCTCTTGACAAATGAGACAGTTGGGCTCCTGATGTTCCATTATGTGTTTTAAGCCCTTTTCTATTTAATATGATCCATTTTAAAACAGGATCAAACCCTAAACTTAGTGAGAAACCACCTGCTTTGAATGTCCACGCCCAAATCAATGTTCCCTAGATTTACCTTGGTTCTGAAAACAAATTTGCTACAGAATTCTTAAAAATAGATATTAATGAATTACCCTATAGTGCCATCAGCAATAGATAACTGCAGTTATTCAATACCAATGGTTCCACTGGCAATGGGATTTGATAGAAAGCACATGTAGCAAAAGAACAAACACTGTAGTCTTCCTGAATATATGGAGAGAGAGCTCATAAAATCCAGAACGGAGGAATCTCAAGGGTGGGGATTGCGAAAGGGCGGACTATGTCATGTCAGGTAAATGCTATCAAGAGATTATATATATTTTCTTATATAAGTTTCCTAGGTTCTTTCACAGATTTTTAAAAATAGAAATAGCAGAGTAATAACTATCAGAAAAGAAGTTCTGTGAATGCAAATGGTTTAACTCTGATCACCAGCTTCCCTAGTCACTTGGTAAGCAGGTAATGAGACCAGGTTAATATTGCTCCAACGTCACTGTCCCCCACTAAGCTGAACCTGATACAGTGCTGTAACTGTTCTCTCTCTCTCTCTGTCACACACACACACACACACACACACACACACACACACACACACCCCACAACCTGTACCAGCCCCCAGTAGCTCCACAGCCATCAACTTGGCAAAAATATCAAACCAAAGCGTCTCAAAAATGCAAGAATCAGACCAGCATATTATGAAGGGACGTGTTCCCTTGAGTCTCCAAATTCACCTTGGTCCCTTCACTTCTTTGCCCATCATATCTTCCTTATGGCCCTTCGCATAGGCACAGCATACCAAGCATTTTCCTGTTTTCCAGACAAGAAACCTAAAACTTTCATTTTCAGTGTGGCTCAGGGCAGAAGTTCCTTTTGATATGATTTGCTTTGCTCCCCATTGAATGTTAAAGTGTGCTACTTGGGAAAGTGCCCAGAGTCACCTTTGAAGGAAGAAGAAATCAGATTCAAGAGAGCCTGCATCCAGATCAAACGTGCATCCCGTATGGAAGCTTAACTAAATTAAAATGACATCTGGACCCAAGATGAAGTGGGAGGGGATATGGGGTAAAGAGCAAGGGAGAAAATAAATAGTTGTGGAGAGATATATATTGTTGCTCCTGTTATGTGCAATCGAGTCGCCTGGGACTCCTAGGGACTCTATGTACAAGAGTCCGAAACCCTGCTCTATTCTGGGCCAATCTTATTGTCTCTGACACATCTACCCTCAGTACCCCAGTCAACTGAATCAATCTATCTCATCAAGGGTCTTTCTCTCTTGTGCTGTCCCTCCGCCTTCCCAAGCATGACGTCCCTCTCCAAGGACTGGTCCCTCCTTGCAACATGTCCCAAGTATGTCAGACGGAGCTTCAGAATCCTTGCCTCCAAGGAACAGCCTTGTTTCACCCTCTCTAGGACAAACCTATTTGTTCTTTTAGCAATCCATGGTATATTCAATGCTCTTCTCCAGCACCACAGCTTAAAGGCATCAATTTTCCTTATATCATCCCTAGTCATTGTCCAGCACTCTGATGAATAGCAAATAACTGCAAAGACCATGGCCTGTATCAGGCACACCTTAGTCTACAGACTGACATCATTGTTCTTCAGTACTTTATATATTCCTTAAATTAGAAGCTTGAAATATATGATGCAAATATGATTAAAAAATGGCCACTGTTATATCTGGAAGATAGGAGTTTATTATTCTCTTCTCTGATTTTCTATACATTTAAACTCTTCACTATTAAAAAAAAATCAACAAACTCAAGATGTTTCTAAAGAATGTTGTTGTTGTTGTTGTTATGTGCTGTCAAGTCGCTTGCGACTCATAGTGACCCTATGTACAACAGCCCTAAACTCTGCTGTGTCCTGTGCCATTCGCACTGTCTCTGACACTCCCATCCCAATTATCCCAGGCACTGAATCAATCCACCTCATAGAGGGCCTTCCCCTCCTATGCTGTCCCTCCACCCTCCCAAGCATGATGTCCTTCTCCAAGGACCGGTCTCTCCTCACAACATGTCCAAAGTATGTTAGACGGAGTCTCAGAATCCTTGCCTCCAAGGAGCCACCCGGTTTAACCCTCTCCAGGACAAATCTGTTTGTTTTTCTAGCAGCCCATGGTATTCTGAATACTCTTCTCCAGCACCACAGCTCAAAGGCACCAATTCTCCTTCTGTCCTCCCTGGTCATTGTCCAACTCTGATGCATAACAAGTGATTGCGAAGACCATAGCCTGTATCAGACGCACCTTAGTCTCCAGAGAGACACCATTGCTCTTCAGTACTTTGGAGAGGTCCCTAACAGCAGACTTTCCCATGGCAATGCGCCTATTAATTTCCTGGCTGCTGGTGCCAAGACTGTTGACTGTGGAGCCAAGCAAACTAAAGATGTGTACAATCTCAATCTCTTAACCATCCATCCTGATGCTGCCAGTTGGTCCAGTGGTGAGAATCTTTGTCTTCTTGACATTGAGTTTCAATCCATATTGTAGGCTGCAGTCCTTGACTCTCTGCAGCAGGTGCTTCAGGTCCTCTTCAGTTTCAGCAAGCAGGGTTGTGTCATCTGTATAACGCAGATTGTTGATAAATCGTCCACCAATCTTGACCCCACATTTCTCCTCATAATATTCTCAGCCCCTGACTC